GTAAGCCAAAATAAATGTCTTTCCTTTAAGTTGTATATGTCAGTTATTTTTGTCCCAGGAATGTAACAGTGACTAACAGTACATCTCGAATACATGAAAAAAGGATCCTTCCCACCTCCAAGAAAGAGCCAATAGCATGTTACCTATTATCAGAGATGAATTTTATAGGGAATCTGGACTTAATTTTAAGTCTCATTATTTGCAAAGACCCTCTGGGTGGGCAGAACATCTGTTTTTGCTAAAGTTAGATTTTCCTCTAGTATGTAGTCATGCAACTTTTCTCTTGAGAAAGGCTATAAGGCTGGCCCTTCCTTGAGTGTCTTATCAAAACAGTCACTCTCTTAAAAGCACCATAATCAGGAGGAAAATTTGGTTCAAGTCTTATAGGTGAGACACGAGAGGTTCAAATGGATGCAGGAGAGAAGGGTGGGAGAAGATGCAGAGGCAATAAAATATAAGAATTCACTGTAGGATTAGATAGAGGTGTGATGGTTTAGATCTAAAATAGTACCCAAAAGTCTTGTGTTTGGAGGGAGGGTCTGGGCCAGAGGAGGCAAGTCCCTGGGTCATACCTTGGAAGGGTATATTGTCCTCAGATCCTACTTTCTCTCTGTTTCCTGTATGCTATGAGTTGAGCAGCATCCACCATGACTTTCTACTATGTTGTTCTGACTTAGAGCTGATAGACATACACTTAACCTACTGAAACTAGGAGCCAAAATAAACATTTCTATTAAGTTGCCTGTGTTTGGTATATTGTCACAGCAGTAGGAAAGAGACTAACTCATAAAACTGGTACTAGGAGTGGAGTTGTTTTGACTGTACCTTACTAGGTGGGTTAGAAACCTTTGGAACTTGCTTGTGGGAGGAGTCTGCAAAAGTGTAGAGAAAAAGGATAGAGAATCCCTAAGTTGTGGTAAGCAGAGATTTATGTACAGTATTAGAGCTCAGAGGACTAGAATGCTGATAAGAAGCTGATTAGTAGCTGAGTATGGTGTTATACATCTATACCTAGCATTCAAGAGGCTGAAGCAGAAGGATTGCCATTAGTTAAAGGCCAGCTTGGGCTACCTAGTAAATTCAAGGCTAGCCTGAACTATATAGGAAAAAAAAATGGCAAAGGCTGGGGCTCATGAAGTTTCAGTTGGGAACAAAGACTCTATTGGAAACTGAACTAGAAGCCACGTGTATATTACTCTGACAAAAAGTTTGTTCACAATTTGCCTATGTCCTGAAACTTTGCAGGAGACTGGAGTGTTCAGACTGAGGCATGCATACTGCTGGCTGCCTATAAGCTGTTTTTACAATGAGAATCAGGAGTAAATAGAAGAGCTGACTGATTTGCAAACTTTGCCATTATACTAGAAAGGAAGCACCCGTAAAGTTGGAGCAGAGACATCATGGTTGCCAAAAAGATTAATATTACAAGAAAGAGAAGTACTTTGTATCCAGAAAACAGGAAAGATGCCTTAAAAGCATCTCAGAAATCAGCAAAATCATATCTGCTACAGTCTCAACGATGCAAAAGTATGAACCCTTCATTTGAGAAGACAGCCTTGGTCCCCTTGCTGGAGAAGGGTTGTCAAGGGAATTGATTCCCTGTCTGGGATTTATTTCATTATTTTAAGCTATCCAGACATTCAGAGGCTGCTGCAGTTATGGGGTGTCTGGCTGTGACACCCATGCTTGTGACAGGCCTTAGCATCATCCACATTGTGCAGATTTTTTTAGACAGGGATTGTAGTGTCGTGAAGGATTCCACCCTGATTTCTAAGGAAGGTCTGGGAGGACGAGAAGTGTGCCTTTAGGATGACAATATGAGGTGCCATAAGGGTGGAGATTCCCCAACATTGGAGGACCATCGACTATCTGCTGAGGAAAGCTGCAGGCAGGAGGGGAAGCCAGGCCAAGAAAGAAGCCATGAGGGTTGTTGGACCTGCTTGACCCTCTCTAAATATTCCAATAGCTTTATTTTCACCTTCAAGTTGGACAGTAACAAAATGAAAGCTTTAGTACATTCAAATTTTCTTATCACTCACTTATGCTTTTCATTTCCCTTTAATAAAGTCTGATTTAAAAGAAGCAAATACATTTTGTGTTTGCAGTGCTTTTAGAAATTTCTGTACAAGGATAGGCATTACTGGAGGGCCCAGTTCAGGAGACTTTTTTTATTTTCAGTGCTGGGCACTTCTAGAATGTTAAATATGAACTACTTTCCCAGCCCAAAGTCTGGACTTTTTCTTTTAGCTTTATTACTGTTTGTTTGTTTTTTTTCTGTTCTGGGGATCATGCCTAGCAAATTTTCTGCTACTGAGCCATGTTTCCAGCCCCAGAAGTCATCATTTTCAAGTGCATTGCTAAAGTGTAGTGTTTTTCTCATGGAATCTTCCACATAAAGGTTATCTTAATTCTAAATTATCTTTAATAATATTTTGTCATTTTTGTATTTGCAGTTACCAGTGTCTAATACTTAGATGTGTACAAGGTAGGTATAGCAGGAAAGTGGAGAACGCAGTACTTTCGAAACTAAGGATTCCATCTCTACATCGAATCTTGGGTTTCTCAAAGCTGAGATAAAAGCCTCAGAGACATCTGTATGATGTAATACCTCAACAACGTGTTTTTATCACAGGGACAGTTTCTCATGACGAACAGGTACCACTGTGTGGTACCTGTTTATCTCCCACAGTGGTTGTGTTTTCAGCTGGTGAGTCTTCTGACAGCTTTTAGGGTCTCAAACTATGCCCACTGTGAAGCTATGGCTTTGGCTCTGAGGTCCCCTTGACCAATTCCACCAAAGATTTTCCTGTACATAAGAGCAAGGGAAAGCAACAAGGAGGAAAGCACACAAAACCCTAGTAAATTTTCAAAAGCTGGAGCTCATATCCTGGCAATATGGTAGTGTCCCTTATAAACAGGGTTCATTGCCTGCAGTTTCAATTACCAGTGATCACCCATGATCCAAAAATATTAAATGAAAAAAATCTGGAAATAAACAACTCATAAGTTTTAAATTATACACAAATCTGAGTAGCATGACAACACCTCCTGCTGTCCTGCTACATTCTGTCTGGGTTAGGATTTTCCTTCTGTCCAGAATATTCATGTCACATATGCTACCCACCTTCTAGTCACTGAGTAGCCACCTTGGTTATCAGATCCACTATTTTACAGTGCTTTGCACACAGGGTTAGGAACTATACTCAGCTTCAGGTATCTTCTGGGGTCTTGGAACACATCCCCCATAGATAGAAGTAAAGGGTACTATAATTGTCATTAAAAGCTAGTCCCTCTTTGCCCTAGTCAAATACTCGAGGACACCTTACAGTACATAGTCCTGTTTCTGTCACATCTTCTGCTCCTACTAGTGACTCATCCCTTACAAACCCCCAAAGGTCACATACTTCTTCACTGTACAAACTAACCCTCAGCATGTGGCCCCAAGGTCATCTACTTTTTATTTATTATTATTATTATTATTATTATTATTATTATTTTGGTGCTGGGGATAAACCCAGGGGCCTCAGAAAAATACCATTGAGCAATACCCCCAATCCTTTTGAAACTTTATTTTGCAACAAAATCTTACTAAATTGCTCAAGCTGGCCTTAATACACCTTAGCCCTCTGGGTGGCTGGTGTTATAGGCCTACACCTCTGTGCCTGGCTCTTTCACTCTTTCGCAGATCACTAACTCTGGACTCAAAAGCCAAAAAGATGTGGGTGGTGGTGGTGGCAGTGGCAAATGCAGAATGGAAGTTGACCCTGAGAAGAAGGTACAGCCCTCGCGTCCCCTCTGGGAGACTGGGAGTCTCCAGTGACCCCCCACATTCCGCAGCAGTGTTTTTCAAGTGCTTTTGTAATTGGCAAGACTGACAAAGGCAAAATTACCTAAATTTAGTTATAGATCTAGCTGGATATTATTTGTACTTCATAAATCAGGACAATCCTCCAATGTACAAAATACAATGTAAGTTCTCACTAGATGGGAGCGGAGAATGGTACATGAGTTATCAATGGATGCAGGACAGTTTTAAAAATGATAGGTTAATGTAAAGTTATTATTGATTATTTTTATTATTTCTTTTAAAGCTTAAAGACAGGGAACTTCTTTATTATGCTAACTCTGGTACATTGGAATGTTCTGCTTTTGTGGTAAAATTGTCAAGTTTGAGAATTACCTGCTTCACTTTGGTCATGGGACATTTTTAAATTTTTTATTTATTTGCATTTTAGGAAAGAGTCTACAGGGTCTTCAGGGTCTCACTACTAGATTGGACTCATAGTGATCCGCCTCCCAAGAGCTGGGATTACAGGCACACACCACCAGGCTCAGTCTCAATTGCCATCTCAGTGCGCCCTGGGGGAGCAGGGCCCGTACAGCAGGCTCCGGGATTGAACCCCAGGCGCCTGAACCTGCTTACAGGCGCTTTAATCCACTGAGCTATTTGGTCACGGAACATTTAGAATAAATAACTGTTCGGATTATCAAGGCCTACTGAAGAAATTTACTCCAAAACAACCACTTCCCACAAGTTTTCTTTAACGATGTCCCCCAAATCCAGAGTTCTCTGTTAACCTTTGAGCTTCATGGTAAGTTGGTGAGGGAGACAGTCCAGAGTTCCAGAAAATATGGCTATCTTTTCAGAGTTATGCTGCCTTCAACAGGAAAGAATGTGGATTGCAGTTTGGGCGCTTGATACCCCAATTTTTGTTTCCGAAGCTTTAATGGAAAGGAAATTTCACGTGTGCTGGTACATTTATGTGTACGTGTGGGGTTTCCTTTGTGTGTTGCTGGGGTGCAACTATTTTCATCTCCTCTCTTTCTGCCCTTGCACCCTGTGACTTGCCTCCCAATCAATATGCAGTTTCGGAAACCCCACCCTCACCCCCACCCCTGTTTCAGATTGGGGTACACTCCATCCTCACATGACCTCGGTGCCTGCACTGCCCCTTCCACCGGCTGCAGGACTGAGCAAAGGGCCCCCGACTCCCCTCTGACTCCTCCTCTCCTTGCAGATCTCCAGCTCCTACACGACCACCACCACCATCACAGCGCCTCCCTCTGGCGGCCTGCAGAATGGCGGCGAGAAGGTGGCGAAAATGCCTCTGTACTCAGAGGAAGACATCCGTCCTGAAATGAAAGATGACATTCGCGACCCCAACTATGAGGACGAGGAGGGCCCTGCTCCCAAGCTGGAGTATGTCTGGAGAAACATCATCCTCATGGCTCTGCTGCACGTGGGAGCCCTGTATGGGGTGACACTGCTTCCCACCTGCAAGTTCTATACCTGGCTGTGGGGTAAGCAGGTTCTCTACTTCTGGTTAGTGCCCCAGGGTGCTCCTGTCTGTTAAGAGATGGGGACTTACATCTGGCCCCTCTCTGTCCACAGTTCCCAGCCGTCTCTGGTGGCCCAGGAGGCCCAGAAGGCTGACTGCACTGGGAATAGGGCCCACTGGTTGAGATGCAGGAGTGTCACTGGGGTAGTTTCTTCAGATGTGTGTTGGGAGTGACCTGTGAGCCCTTGTGCAGGGGCGTGGAGGGGGAAGAGCAGGGACAGAGAGGCAACTACCCTGGATGAGCTTCACTGTTTCTGTTTGAGTTATTGGTTTGGTTGCCTGTGAGAGGCTCCTGACAGGAAACCAGGGCCTTTATGCACTATGTGTTGAGTCCAGTCACAGGACAAAGTAAGGGGAAACTGCTCAGGATCAGAGATCATGGAAGAGGATGTAACACAAAGGGGTTTGCCTTCTTGGCCAAGCAGGCTGGTTTCAGACATAGAGGGTTAATGAAGACAGCTCCTGTGCAGTGTATTAAATAGATGCTCTTTTGTTCCTGGTATGCAGGACAACCAAATGTTCTTAGAATCTGACTGAAGATATGTTGCATGCTGCCTTCCCAACCAACACCTCTTCCTTGGGCCCTGGCACACCAAGGTCCTAGCACCTTCTAACCCCAGCCCTCCCTACCCCTCTTTATCCTTCCGTGGCATGGACAGCAGCCCGGAGTGAAGAGCCCTATGCAGCTCCAGCCTTCATGCTGCTTTAGTGAGGGAGACAGTTGCCACCTTTCCGTGACCTACCCTTAGCTAAGCTCTTTCCAGAATTTGTGGACTGTGTTGCGAGCAGAGCCTGTGGCGTTCTGGATCCACACACGTGCTTTTCAGGTGGTTTCACCTCTGCCCCTCACAGTTGGAAACACTGAGCATGGAGCTCTTCAGGTCCTGGGTACAACTGTGCTCTCTAGGGATGGTGAATCAGGACTTCTTTTCCAGAAGACAAGTTTTCTAGGGAAGTCTCAGGTGTAGACGCTTTCTGGCAGTTGGGCCTTGGGAGCACTGTGGTAGGCCAGAAGCAGCTAGTTTACCAGGTGTTCACTGTCTCCCCTTTGGACCTGTGGTAAGATCGTCCAGCTTTGTCTTAGCAAATCTGCCAGATGTCTCAGAGAAGCACAACTGAGACTGCAGTTTTTCCAAGTACCAGCAGTACACTTTCTCCTACCTCCTCACTGCAGTTTTTCCAAGTACCAGCAGTATTAGTAATAGGAACAGTATGTTCTTAGTTTCCATGGTATTACCGTTGCCACAAGGCACCTACTAGAAGCAGGCCAGGTGCAACAACCAACCACGTGTATCTGTAGACAAAGAATGATTGTTCTGTTTGTGAAGGGAGGAGCTTGTGTTTTCTCACTGCTCTGAGACCCAAAGAGCTTGGGTGCAGCGTGATGAGCCCGGAGCAGGGCCTAGATTCCCCAGGGAGGCTGTGGACTTTGCTGTCCACTCCTCTGAAGAGTGAAGTCTTCATGATTAGCCCTATGATCTGCAAGCCCTTTCCGGCCTTGGCAGTCCCTGTAGGCCTTACTCAATCCAGAGTTTGACCAGACTGCGTGTGCTTGGTCACCTTCAGATGCCAGTACAGGGGGCAGAATACTATTGCAAAGCCAAGACTGTGCTGGCTACCTTTTGTTTCCCTGTCCATAGGTATATGCTGCGACTTTGGGCAGAACGGAGAGTCAGACAGTGATATATTTTACTCCTGTCCCTGAGTCTTCTAATCATGACATAAATGAGAGTGACAATCTTGAAATGGGAATTTCAAAACTCCTAGGTTTTAAAGAAAAATGTTGGCAAGAGGACTCAGTCTGGACATCTCCCTGCCTTCAGAGTTTCCCAGCTTTTCTTGTGCTACCCCAAGAAAAATGCAAAATGATCAGCTCGGTGTGATCCCAGCATTTTCATGACTGTGAAGCTCTGAAATGGTTATGTGTTCTTCCTCTTGGAGACACTCAGAAGAGTCCTCAAGGCAGAAGAGTTATTTCTGGTAATACTGAGAGTCAGCCCTGGAAACACCTCTGCTCACTTCTAGAGAAAGCTATAAAGTACTGCTTAATCATTGGTGTGGACACTAATAGTCCTTCCCTGGGAGAGATTAGTTTACCTGACTAGAGCCTTCTATTTGACACACCCAGAGGTGTATCTTTAAGAGGTACCAGAGCAACTGGATTCTTATCCAAATTCCCCCATTAATATGGGGTCACATGTGCTAGGGGGCATACAACAAATGAGGGTGCATCCTTGGAACCTCAGCTGAGTGCTCTGCTTTGCCCAAAGCCATTTCCTTTCTCCAGCAATTTCAGGACTCGTGCTCTCTTGGGTTTTTGTCCCCATAGTGAAGCGGTCAGGCACTGTACTGGGGAAGAAGATCTCAATCAGCACATGACCAGAGGTTGCAGATCACTTTTGGCCTCAACCCCAGCTCAAAAAGAGTGTGCTAGAACATTCCATGAACAGATTCTGACTTTATGGTTCCACTAGGAAGGATGGAAGAAGGTATAGGAGGAAAAACAGAGAGAGAGGAGGAAGCTGTTTACAAAATTATTATCTCTGGCTACAGAAATGGCAGGAGAGTCTGTTACAATGTATAGTGGTCTCCAAGGACAACTAAATTCTTTAGCCACTGAGGATTCACTGTTCCCAGCTGTCCCCTAAGACATCTGTCCCCTAGAGCATCTGAGCAGAGGAAGAGATAGTACACTCAACACCCCCTGTCCACTTAGAAGCCATACATGGCTCCTGTTGGGCCTGCAGGACAATGTAAGGGTGCTCTGTGGCCAGTTTTGACATCTTACAGCATGATGGAAGGATTTGGCGACCTAAAGACTCTGCAACTGGCTACAGGTGCAGTGGGGTGGGAGGGCTAGAAATGGTAGAGCTGGAATAAGAACTGTTTGGTGACAGAAAACCTAGCTTCAAACTGAGGCTATAGTTTTACTAACCATGTGACCCTGGATAAACACTCAGCCTCCCTCAAGATTCATTTCTTCCACTGTGGTGTGCCATATTACCAGCCCTTGACCTGATCAAGCTATGCAAGGAGTATGAGACTATTCATATTTTTGTTGAACTTTGATAAACTGTGTAAACATGACTGTGTGAAGGGCTTTCTTCCTTTCAACATCCTTAGTCTCAGGGGTTCCTGAGTTTGTTTCCATTCCTAAATAGAGAGGCTAGGAGGCAATGGAAAATTTTCAAGTAGTGGAAGCTGAGGCCTGTTTGGTGTAGGCATCCCTAGGATTTAGGGAAAGGCAGATCTTTACCTAAAGCTGTAAGACAGCACAGACATGGCATCAAGAGGGTGTCCAGGACATGTTTCCCCCACAGGACATGTCTGTTGATGACTGTCCCACTGTCTTGTCCTACAGTGTATTTCTATATGTGTAGTAGTATTCTGGGCATCACTGCAGGAGCTCATCGCCTGTGGAGCCACCGAACTTACAAAGCTCGGCTGCCCCTAAAGATCTTCCTGATCATCACCGACACGATGGCGTTCCAGGTGAGAAGCTGGCGCTGCTCTTTTCTACCATTTCTCACCTATGCTTGTTTTCAGGAGAAACGGAGAAGATCTACACCAGTTGAGATCCCCAGCAGAATGGCCATTGTCCAGTCTAGTCTTCTGTTGTCACCTCAAGAGCAGGCCCATTGCTGAGCTCCACCAAGCATGGGGATCTTCAGAGTCTTGAGGACAACAAATAGGAGATAAATGGGACAAACTGTCCTGGCACAGGATGCCTTTTGATTCAAAGGTCCTTGTGTTATCACATAGTGTGCCTGTTATGTTCTTTTGCCATAAAGGATCATGGTACAAAGTTAAGTACTAACCCTGGTGTCCTGGGCAGTCAAAAAGCACTAATCCCACCCTTGACAGTGATTGCTATATGACCCCAGGACAACAGGATAGAAGGTGATGTGTCACAAACTCATGGCCTGTGTAACACTTCCGTGGCACCCACTGTGCTGGCGGTGTGCTAAGCACATCACACAGACTAACCCATGACATCTTCACATTATCTTAACAGACAGGTGTTCTCATTACCTCACTTTACAGATGAGGAAACTGAGTCACTGAAAGGTTGGCCAGATCAACTTAGGGGTCCTGTCTGGGGCAGCCATGTTAATTAAGTCTAGGATGGAATTCAGTGAAGGGAGAAGAGGAAAATATCAAACCAAATAGCTCTTCCTTGTTACAGTGATATCTGAAATGCTTACTACCTTTGCATAATCATCTCTGCTCTAGCAACTTTCAACTGGAGGCTAGTGATGTTATCCTTCTGGGGCAAAGGGAAAAATAAACATATTGGTACACTTTTGAAGGGATAGAAAAAGTCCCAGAGAAGCCCTGAGGCCTTCTGGAAATGTGATCATGGTCAGGGATTACGTGAGGCCTCCTTACTGGATTGGGTCAGCTGCCACTCAGGGCGACATCAGGGTTGTGCCCAACGCAGCTTTAACCATACACCAGCACACGAGGATACAAGGCCACCTGACACACTCTGTGCCTGAGGATTAGCACCCTTTTGAGACTCTGTCTCACATCCTTTGAAGACCTGCTTTTTTATTTCTAATTAAATGATCTGAGTGTGGGAGCTACCTCCATCCACATATGTCCTTTAGGAAGCAGTGGTGCTGTTCTTGTGGGCTGGGTCTTCGGGATTTTTATCCACATGAGTTTTGGGGGCAAGTGTGCTGAAGAGGGCACTTTCTTTATCCCTTCATGGGTGCCAGAATCCTGAGGACTCTGTGGGGGTGATCTCAGCGTGCTGGGCCCTTGGAGACATCTAGCATTGACTTCTTCCGGGAGGATATCGCTCTGCAGTCCTGTTTTCCCTTTCTCTCTTCTCCAGAATGATGTGTATGAATGGGCACGAGATCACCGGGTCCATCATAAGTTCTCAGACACACACGCTGACCCTCACAACTCCCGACGTGGCTTTTTCTTCTCTCATGTGGGCTGGCTGCTTGTGCGCAAACACCCAGCCGTCATAGAGAAGGGGAGGTTGCTCGACATGTCTGATCTAAAAGCTGAGAAACTGGTGATGTTCCAGAGGAGGTGAGTGGAGGCAGGATGGGGTGGGGATGTGGGTCTGGGTTTGGGGA